ATATATTATATATATTTTTCGCAATTTTAATATACATATATGAAGATATATATATTTTTTATTTAAATGCTGAATGTTTTCTTAAGCTTGTTTTAAGTAATAATGAAACATGTCGCAATAATTTTATAAATACTTTTTTTTTTTTATTTTCATGTCTACATTTTTTTGAAGTTCACTCACTACTTTGAGATGTAAATTTTACTTTAAATATTTGTTTTTCACATTTTTCTGAATTCTTTTTTCTCTTTTTGATTTCAGCTTGAAACCTGTGTTTGACATTCCACTTCATATTCCAATACAAACAGTTGTGGTGACACCCGGGAACACACACATACTTGCACCGCTGCGCGATGGCCGGTTAGCGGTGATTGCCGTGCAGGTGCCGGCCGGCAACAATAAAAAGCATTCCGTTCTAAACGTTTAATAAAAGTCAAGCTGCTTAAGAACCAAAACGAAAATGAACTGTATGTGGCAAATAAATGAAGTGAACGAACGAATTTTGTAAAGGGTATGTAGCAGTAGTGTGTGCTTGTAATTAGAATAGCTACAGTTTAGGCGTTGGAGCAGCAGCGAAACCGGTAGAAATGTTAAACGTAGCAAGACAACAACAAAAATAAAGTGAAGTCGTTGTCACGCAAATATATATTAACACTCATTAGTATATACATAAATATAAACTTTTGTGAGTAAGTGAGTACAGTGCGCAGTGTTTTTGAGGGGTTTTCTCTGGAAAACTAAATTTATACACATATGTAGATACTAGATAGAAGTAGAAAACACCGTACAACAATTATATGAACTTCAGCTTCTAATTAGAAGGATAAAATGCGAAAGCTCCACTTCATTGATAATAAATTGCTGATTAGTGTATTGTCTGCAACAGCAGGAAATCAACAAAAATAGAATTCAAAGCAAAACAATAATAAAACAAAAATAGTGCAAATAAGTGTAGTAAACCTTCAAGTGGCAAAATGAGTGATTTAGAGCGGGCGAAACATAAAATTTACACAGTTTGGGCGCCTAAACGTAGGCTGTAGTTATTGGAAGTATATAATTAGCGAGACATATGCATTAATTAGTAACTGTACTCATTGTCAGCGCTAGCAGCAATCTGTTTACGCAACAGCAAAGTTTATAATTTCGTGCGCTGCTTATTTACTTGTATGTTTGTATGTATTATTATGTAATTGTATTTATTACTTAGTGCTTTCGAGTGAATTAAATGTCGCTAGCGCTTTATGTATTTTATTCTAATTACCACTAATTCTTTATTTTTGCCTGTATGTAATCTAGTTGTAATTACAGTTTGTGCATTAGAATTAAATACTGGTCAATTAAGCAGCTGTCTTATTTCTCGCTCGCTTTTTAAACCGAAAACTGTATTAAATTTTATTGCAAAATTAATAAGTTTAATAAAAAAAAAATTTATCAATTATTACCTTATAATATTTCTTGTCTATTCAAAACACTCAACTTTTAAAAAATCTGCATAAAATTATTTAAAAAAAAATTTTTTTTTTACTTTTAAGCAATTATAAGAGCAGTGCATAAAGGCAAAACAGTGCTAAAGAAGGAAACTAATTATATAACACAATATTAGCATAATTTATTACGACAATTCAAAAGTGACGGCATTAAATGTGCACAGAACGCTTCTAGCTTTTGGTTTCCTTCGTATGTCAACCAAAATAAAAAAATTGTATTTTAAAATTTTTTCGAACCTTTTTTAGGCCCAACTACCAATTTCGGGATAATTTTTTTCTTTTCTCTTCAATTTCCAATATTCCAATCTTTATAACTAGTAAAATTCATTCCTTATAAAATGCTTACGATGCCTACTCGAAAAAATTTTTTGAAAAATTTAAAAACGATTTTTTTCTGGACTTTAGATCAAATCAATATTTTCAAGAGATTGGACATAGGTAAAAATATAATATCACGTTTTACGATCGAAATATTAAAAAAAAAAAATTAAATTAAATCGACTTTTTTCTAGACATTATGTACAATAATCCCGTATATCTTCGAAATTCGAACTAAGCTAATTGAAAACATTAATATGTATAATATATCCTGCTCCTATTTCAATGTCCCAAATCCTTTTTGGTGCAAGTTTATATCATCTTCAGGTCAAAGCTGCATATTCAAAAAATTCAAAAAAAAATTTTATCTAACCTAATTTTAAATTTTATGTCGTTGTGTAAGCACATTTCACCTGTCAAAAAGCCAAGGACGAGTTCAATAGTAATGTGAGCACATGCGCAGTATCTTCTTTGTTAGATGGCAATTTCAAAACGCTGTCAAAGACTACTCTTTTTGCCACGGATACTAGAAAAATTGATTTCTTAGACAAACATGTTACATATAAAATTAAAAAAATTAAACAAATCAAAGTTTTATATTATTATTGAACTATTTTTCCTTTAAAACATAAAAGAAATTTATTTCATGAAAACTACGACCATTTTCAGTATTCCTCTAAGTATTAAAATTATGGATTTCCGCGTCGATAGACATAAAATTGTTTAAAAAAAATTTTGTGCAGTTCCGACTTCGTTGGCCACATTGATAAATTTCATTAAAATTTAACGAAAATATTTCTGTCTCATTCGATTCTTTAATGTACTCAAGCCGCCAAACTGCTCTACCGTTTCTAAAACAATAATGACGTTTGCATATCAGTCATCAATATTGCTACCCACTATATATACGAATGCACTCCACAACTATACACTTCCCACATTTTGCCCGAAACACCAGCCCTCACTACTGAAACCGTCTATTGCCGTGCTGTGTACCAGCAATCATCGATGAATGAAGTGTGAAGTGTGGGCAAAAAAAGCTGCGCATAGCAACAGCTAAGCATGAACACGCACATAACATATCTACATATGTATACTCCGATCAATGGCGACAACATGTAGACATTGCTGCGGCTATGTCTATGTCGGCATATGTGCATGTGGCGTGGTCTCCGCATAGACATTGCAGGCCGTTTGACGCACTCAATATCATTCAGATAAAACTTTAATTTCACAATTTGTCAATGAATACTAATGAAGAAGAAATAAATTAACATAGAAGTGTGCCAACAACTCAACCATGTATGAGTAGTAGCATTGGGGCGTCAATCAGTTGAGCGTACAAGCGTACAGGCGGTTATCTTTACACAGATACATAAATATATTCCATCGACAGTGTTGTTGAACCTGCCAAATGTAGGTGCTTTTTATCCACACTTCATATTTTCACAGACCTTCAATAGTATTTACTTACCGGGTCTGTTAATTGTACGAGATTATATCAAGGAAAAGGTTATGATATACGGAGTTTTACTTGTATCTCTTGCATACTTCATACTTGTATCTAATATTATTATGTATAAGTACTGCATTTTATTGGGTTGAGTTGCAAGCAAAATTATTTATTAACAATGAAAGTAATCATATTTTCATTATTCTTTTTTTCAATAAATTAATTTCTCTAGAAACCTTCATGACTTCAAAAATCGTACTTTTCTCGATTATTACACTCTACTTTCTAACTCGAAAGCCATAAATTCATTCCTCTTTTTTTACCATTCCATTAGGGGTTTTACGACTTTAACTATTAAGATGTTTATAAAACCCATTTTAAATGAAAATTTTTTACAAGTAATTGGCTGAGTTCTATGACTTTTGAGCGAGCTGAGTGGCACATTTTTTGGAAATGTGCTTAGGATATAGTACTTTAGATTCGCTCTTTAAAGTGCTATATTCTTACCCTAGATTTCAACAATAATCGTATTTGACCAGTTTAACTTTGCTTAAATTTTGAACTGAGATTTTTCTAATTACGAATAAAAAAAAATGCTTAGAACTTATATTTCCTTGAACACAACAACTTTACTCAGCTGTTAACGGTTTACATGGGTTTCCTCGCCTAAAAAACAGGCTTTTTTCAAATTTTTTTTTTTCTCATATAAAAATGCAATATTTTTTTTTTTTTTTTTGTTTTTAATATTTTAAACTCGGCCATTGCGACGCCATTTCCGATGACACTTCGGAAAAAAGTCTTTAAGAATTGTATATCAAACACCTGTCGAATTTCATAAAGATCGGTTGAGTAGTTCACGAGAAATCTAGCCAACCGGCTTCAAAAAGATTCGAGAGAAACGCGTTTAAAGGTGGCGCACTTAGCCTAGCTAGCCTAGAGCGCACAAGTTCTCAAGGCTGTATCACGAAACTATTACATGGATCAACTTGAAAATTTGGGACAATATTCTAGAGGTGTTATAGAATTTAATAAGACAATAAAAAAAATCGATTTTTTCAAACCCGTAAACCCATGTAACCTCTTAACACCTGAAACGAAGAGTCAATTGACAATCAATTTCCTCAGCTAATTGAACTGTTTGAACATGGTATAACAAAATCTAAACTTAATTTAGCTAGGAAATATCGAAAATTGTCCTTCATGGTAGATAATCATCACAACTCTTTGAGCGTTAAGAACTTATAAAGTGTAATTTTTGTTCCCCAAATTACAAGCTGTTTGTTGTAAAAATCCCCCTAATCATTGTTCTGTGGCTATTATAATGGCTTCCCCGAACTGAAATGCCTGATAAGAATGCCAAAATAGAAAAGGTTTTAACACTCAGTTGGATTTGTTCGACTTAGAAATGAAAGTTGCAGTAATATAACTGTATATGAATGTAAAACTTCAAATGTATATTTCCTTAATCATTGAATGTAAGCTTCTTGCTAGTTTATCTGTTGTCTCAAAAAGAGGCTTATAAAGCAATTCAATTCGGGCACTTCACATATCTATTTAAAAATGAGTGAAATATTATTATTGAGTGTACGTAAATATGTGTAATTATTATATTACCCGTGAACACTTGCTTTGAGTATTACTAAGTGATGGAGAAAAACAGTGCAGCAAATGCAACTGCAGTCAAACAAATATAAAATCAAGAAGTAATAATAAAAAATGAATAAAACAAAGTTGCAATACAAGCACTAGACGCGTATATAGCTACTAAAATAAATACTTAACAATATAAATGTGACAAACATTCAAACAAAAAAAAAAAACAAAAAAAAATGTTTTGAAATGTAGTTACATAACAAAAACAAAGAAAATGTGAACCCTGTACTAACATTTAGGTATAGAGTATTGTATTGATGGTATTCACAGATTTGCTGCAAACATTATTTATATATAGTTGCATTATGTTAATTGTAATGTAATGTAATGTAGTGTAGTGTAATCGTGCRTTTGGCAAAATTCTAAATGCATACAAGCCAGACAGAAGCCCGCACGTTTCTATAGATATATATATGTACTTATGTATGACAATTTACGTTGGCTCTTCTGCCATTTTACAAAGACTTGTATGCCTACTAATATATATAATTGGTCATAATAATTGTTGAAACTCAAAAGTACATACAAAATAAAATATTACGAATATAAAAAAATTATAGCAAAATAGAAAAGCACTATCATGTGTGTTCGACGTACCATATTAGGTTTCTTAATATCCATTGCGCAGAGAAATTGTACGAAAGTGTCAAATAATTGAAATGTATGGAATTTTAACTGTATTGTATTGTAATTGTACTGTATTTCTTTACGATTACGCATGTATATCGAATGAATAATTTATATGTAAAAGTGCAACAGCTGAGAATTATTAAATAAATTTATAAACTTATGTATGAATAAATTGTATTGAGTCGTTTATTCTATTCGCAGATTTTCGATACATCCAATGTGTGTCGTTAAAGCTACTGCAACACCGAAGCAGCTACTGAAACCTTTCCTTCAATATTGAATATTGGAAGAGAGTTTAGAGGAGTTTTTTAAAGAGGCATACATGGCTTTTCTGCGACTGACGCTGATACCCCAACTTTTCTTGAGGTTTAGGTGAAGCACATACCACAGCAGCTCTCGATATTTTTTTGCTGGCGACATTGACATTGTTCTAGGAATTATATTTACACGAACTTTTATCAAAATTGCATTGGCACCAAATAAGCATATTTTGAAAACAATATTAAAGTTTTGAACATAATCATATAGATCTCTGGAATATTTTATTATTTAAGATCATTTTTATTTCATATTGGTTATTAACCATAGAAATCGGCGTTTGAAAAAGTTCTAGCTTGAAGTGAGGAAAGGTATTGAGGGTTGCTGTTCAGTATAAACTATTTTCCCAAAATGAGATACTTTATTTGATCGACGTAGTAGTATTATACCAATAAACAACTAGAACTAGATCTGATAGAAAAAAAAATCACCCACGCTAAAATACCAGATGAACAGAGAATTTAGTAGGTGACCAGTGTATTAATCTATAATATCAATACAGTTTCGTACATTATACAAACGCTTGAAGCTGAGCGGTTAAACAAATAAATTCTCTTATAATACTTTTAAAAATGCTCTCAGGCGCACA